AGAGGAGAGGAGAGGAGAGGAGAGGAGAGGTGAGGAGAGGAGAGGAGAGACAGAGAAGGGGGGTTGTCTGGACCTGTCATCATAAGTTGAGAAACATCTGACACAAACTTGGCTGCCCTAACCCATCCATGACATGTGAGAACAGAGTAGAGACCACAAAGAGCTTTGGAGTTGTTCTTATGTTTTTCTTGGTCACCTTCTGAGGCCTTTCCCTATAACAAGTTTTTGTGACCAGTAGGGCCTTGACGCGCCTTCACAAGAAATTGTAAGTAGGGAAATGACTGATTTCCTGCTCCCTGGGTCATTTCAACCCTAACCACAGTAAGGACTCCTTCCTGTGAAGTTCTGTTTGCTACACAGAGCACAATCCTTTCTTCTAGAGCTGTCTGCTACACTCCCCCCCCCTTCATATGTATAAGTAGCAAGTGGCCCTCAGCAGGGTGAATGGCAGTGTTTGGAGACCATTTTGATCGTCCCAAGGTGAGGTAGGATGCTCCTGGCATCTAGTGGGGAGAGGCCAGAGAGAGAGCCAGAACTCCCACAAGGACAGCCCCTACAACAAGGTGTCTGCTCCAGCTTGTTGAAAGCCACCATCCTCGGGAGCTGGTCTCATGCCAGCCAATTAATTCCCAGAGCAAAGTCCCCATCTTTCCTTGTGAGCCTGGCATTGCTGTATGGGTGCTGCAGGGCAGGATGGGCCACATGTCCCCAGGGACTCAGGCAGTGATAGAATCTATTTTTATTAGTAGCTCTGAGCAACCCTCGGAACACTTCACTTCTTGTGCCTGAGAAACTGAAGCAAAAGAGACATCGTTTCTTAGGCAATGCTTCTAAATAAAGGTCTATGACACTGGCAGGGGTTTTCGGTTTTTTAAGCTAACGGTTTATATTTGGAAGTTTGATAGGGAAGGAAAGTTCATAAACTCACAAACCAAAGCCAGCCATGCCTGTCCTTTTTGGTAATACAGGAAAGAGGCTGTCCTTGTTAGGAGAACTTTACTGCACCATGTGCATTGTCCTGTTCATTGGCAGACTTGTACCAAATGACCCGCAGTCTCTCTCTGAGTGTTAACCAAGTACCCAGATGGGTTACAATGGCTTCCTCAGACAGAGAACCTGTGATTTGGGATCTGTTAGTATAACACTGAGCAAATAGCTTGTCAGATTGAATTGCTAAATAAAACATGCAAATTACTGCAAATACTCTCGAAGGCTGGCACACTCCTGTTTGGTCTCCCTTCAAAGCACACAGTGACCTTGTTTGTTTTCACAGACTTTTGAGCCTGAAATTAAGAAAATGTTCACTCTCAGGAAACTACTCTATGAGGAGCCTGAAGTCACTGAATCTCCCTCCACCCTCCCCCTTTTCCTCCCCTCTCATTCCCTTTCCTTTCCTCCCTTTGTCAATGTTGGGATCAGGTCCTCACTCATCTCTGGGTGTTTTCTTAACAGAGAGCCTGAGTCTCCAGGCACATGAGTCAGCATGACTTCAGCACGCCTTTGCAGGTGGTAACAGACCACTGTGTTCCCTAAATGTCTCTCCAGGCCTCCTTACCTCACAGGCAAACAGCTTGAACTGCAGCCCCAGGATCTTGTAGTCTATCAACTGGTTCCCTCGAAGCTGAGTCAAGGCCTCTTTAAGGTCTTTGATAGCTAAGTCGTATCTGCAGGGCCGGGAGAAGTAAGTCAGTCTGTCCATCCAGGTTACAGAGAAAGAAATGCTGAATACATGTCTCTGTGTTTCTCCGTTCTCTATCCATCCCACTGGAAGAAGCTTCCTAGTTCACATGACCAATTCTACCTTTTCACCAACCCTGAGACCAAAGATTCGACTGACGAGTTGTGATTTTGCATAGACCCTCAGTCTATGCCAGTAATGGGGATTTCCTTCTCTATGGGCTGTGTGCACATTTCCCACCTTCTGATAACCCCGGTGACCTTCAAACACAGCTCCCACTTTCCCTGGAGAGCTCCAAGCAAAACCGCACCTGCCCATGCTGCTTCTCTTTGGAAGTCTTAGGGCAGATTCAAAACAGTCCCCAACACCCTCATTCAAGGTCAGACCTGCCAGGCACAGCTGCTGGCAGTGTGTGTGTGTGTGGGGGGGGGGGTCCTTGTCACAGCTACAGCTGTGGACATCCTCCTCCTGCCTACAACCATCTTCTGTGTCTTCTGCTAAGTTCAGTTTAGCTCTTGATTCTGTGGCCTCTTGCCTCCTGTTCACACTTTGGGAAAGAGGGAAAAGTGACTCCCACACGTATCTCAGGCCATCCTGTGAGGTAGGAGAGGGTAGGCTTTCCTGGAGCCCTCTCTGTAAATGCGCGGTTGTGTGTGGCTGGCTGGCTGTTTCCCTGAAGCAAGGAGGGGGCAGGTGGAGGCGCAGGTGGCCTGTTCCCTGAGCAGATGCAGTTTTCCACTGTGTTCCACAGCCTGTTTGGGAGCAGGGAAATCTCAGCGGGTACACTTTCAGTGTCATCAGGACTATCTGACAAGTGTGTCATGCTCCCCGAGGAGCTGGCTGAGCAGGTGGACTTCAGCTGTGCAGATGCCCTGAGTCTACCTGGCACAGCAGGGACTCAGCAAAGCCCTCCATGTCATTCTCTGTCTCATCAAGATGTCCACAGTATGAAGAAGACACGTTACCCAGATGCTTGTTTTGTGTGTAAAAGCTGGGTGGGGTTAACCCCGCTAAAGTCTATTTGTTGCTATTGTTTGTCTTTTGAACTAGGATCGTACTATTCCAGGCTGGTCTTGAACTCAGTATGCAACCTGGGATAACCTTGAACTTCTGATCCTCCTGCCTCTACCTCCTGAATGTAGGATTGTACCCAGTTTGTGGTGGGGATCAAGTGACCTAGGGCTTTTTCTTTCTTTCTTTTTTTTTTTAAAAAAAGATTTATTTATTATGTATACAGTATTCTGCCGACCTATATGCCTGCAGAAGAGAGCACCAGATCTCATTATAGATGGTTGTGAGACACCACATGGTTGCTGGGAATTGGACTCAGGTCCTCTGGAAGACCAGCCAGTGCTCTTAACCTCTGAGCCATCTCTCCAGCCCGACCTAGGGCTTCTTGCATGCTAGGTAAACACTCTACCAACTGAGCTACTGATGTCCATTTTTAAACTTGTCTTGGCACAAATCATCTGCTTGGCAGCCCTCACCTATCCTGCTGTGTCTTTTCTCCTCACCCCTGTACTTGTGGCCCACAGCTGTACCCATGGCTGGGAACTCAGCTTTCACACAGCTCTGGATCCCACTGTAAGGTCTGACTAGGATCAGTTCTTAGGAAAAGCCTGAAAGAGGCTCTCAACCCTGGATCCTGTTGGCCTCCTTCAAAGTCCCCATCTGTGCCATCTGGAAGCTTGAGGTCTGCCTAGAAGCAGCCACACCCCCAGGGTGGGCAGGCTTTCTGCTCCAGAGGACTTTTCCTTGTCATTTCTGTAGCAGGCCCTGCAAAGATGCCTTAGTAACTGCTAAAGCTGCTGTTTGCTTCTGCCCCCAACACACACACACACACACACACACACACACAGAGAGAGAGAGAGAGAGAGAGAGAGAGAGACAGAGAGACAGAGAGACAGAGAGACAGAGACAGAGAGAGACAGAGAGAGACAGAGACAGAGAGAGTCTAGAATCCCAGAGCTCATAGGCACTTTCCAGGATAACAATCTCAGGGTAGTCAGGTAGACAGGCCCAATCTTCTGCCCAACTGGAAAGAAGGCCTGGCCTCCTTCCCTCTCTAGGTCAGCTCTATCTTATTCTGAAAAGTCTCACCATGCTCTTATTTTCATGGCTCTAAGATCCTGGATGTCCATGGTATGAAAGACAATTTACAGACCCTCCCTCTTTGGGATGATAATGCTTGGGACAGATAGTTTGATGGGAGAGAGAAAGTCATCCTGAAATACCATCTGCTGCTTGGGAAATGCCTCTGACTTTGTTCTGCTAGAATTGAAGACAAGAAAGCGACACAACACTGAAACCAGGTGAGGGTGGTCGAGGGGAAAGGACCTTCGTGTAACCCCTGTTAAACCCACTGTAGTGGGAAGGACTGCCCAACCCACTCAGCACTAAGTCACCCCTCTAGGTCACCATGCCCTTCAAGCCTGTCCACAGCACTAGCCCAACTTTGTACCACGATCACTAGCCCTAGTGACAGATTTCTCTCTTGTCATCTACACCTTCCTTGAAGCAGGAACTTGCTTATATCCATTTAATTAATCCAACAAGTGTGGGTTTGTCAAGATTTCTGGACATGGTGAATATCTATAATGCCAGAGCTTGGGAGGTGGAGGCAGGAGGGCCAAGAAATCAAGCCAGCCTCAGCTATGGAAACGCTGTCACAAATGACTTAACAAAAAGGAAAGAAAAGAGAAAAGAAAATGAAAAGGGGAGCTGGGGAGGCGGCACAGTTGTAAAGCGTTTATTCCTCAAGCACGAGGATCTGAGTTCGGATCCCAAGGACTCACAAAAGCAAAGCCAAGCACAGTGGCTGGAGAAATAGCTCAGTGTTGAGCTCCCTGGCTGCTCTTGCTGGGGACTGGGGTTTCCTTCCAAGCACTCACATCGTGGCTCATAACCATCCATAACTTCAGTTTCAGGGGATCTGATGCAAGCTCTGGCCTCCAGGGTTACCAGGCATGCACATGGCCCACATACATACCTGCAGCCAAAACACTGAACATGTAAAATAATCTTAAAAAACAACAACAACAACAAAAAAAGCCAAGTGTGTCGGAATGTCCTGTAATCTTAGACTGGGGAGACAGACACAGGCAGATGATGGGGATCTGCTAGCCAAGTGGCCAAGTCTGTGTTTAGTGAGTGACACTGGAATGCTTTGATCTAAGGGTGTTGTCAGCCTGAATAATGGAATGCTCAGCTGTTGCTAAGAGCAACCACCGGTGCAGAAAGAACTTCAAAGGTGTAGATGTGGTCAGTTACCTGATTGAGTGTGAGTAAAGGGAGTCTTCTTGGAAGAAAAGTCACAGACACAGAGCCCCTCGGGAGAGAGGACCTGGGGTAGGGGAGAGGCGGAGGTGGCTGCGGCTATAGACAGTGTGGCTGCTCACTTCCCACATTCTCTTCTCATCCCTGCTTCCTGCATCCAGTATCTTCTCCAGAAGTCTAGACTATATACAGAGGCTAGCCACTGTATATAGGCAGCCCACCCCAACCTATTTACCTCAAAAGACAAACTCCAAGGCGCCCTTTTCACTAGATCTAATAACTCATGGTAAAGAGACAGAGTAGAGGCTTCCAGAAGGAATTTCTGTATGAAAATATCTGAAAGTTCCAGAGCCTGGAAGGCTAAGACTTTGAATGACTTAGAAAAACAAAAAATCTAGAACAAAACAGTCAGACATGGTGGCTTATGCCTGTAGTCCCAGCACTTGGGAGCTGAAGGCAGGAGGATTAGGAAGTCAACGTCATCCTCAGCTAACAGACTTCACTACACAAAACCCTGCCTCAAAAGCAAACAGAGGTGGAGAGGTTGATAGGAGGGACCAGGAAGCTGCTGTCTGCTCTGATAGAATCTACTCAGAACATGCCTGCCCCAGGGTGGTCACCTTGTCAGGGTGACCCCCTCTGAAATCTACTTCTTTCTTGTCCTTTTCACCAGTGCCACCCTGATTCAGATCCTCATTTGTCACAAGGACAACTGTGTTCACTTCCAAATTGATTTTCCAGGCACACATCTTGTTCCCTTCAATTCATATTCTAGAGTAACTAAAACATCCCATGTCCATGATCTGCTTGAGAACTTCCAGGGAGTCATCATCCAGCTCCCTCTTCACTCAGGCCATCCTCTGCAGCCTCCCCAGTGTCCTGTGCCCACCCACACCAAACTTGGGCCAGTTTCACTGTTGGAAAGTTCTTCCTTCCTCTCAGCCAGTTTCCTCTTCCTTAGAACTTGTGCACACACAGGCAGACACTTTCCAGTGTCAGTTTGATGTCTGACTTTGCCCATAATATCTGAAATTCACATTTTTAATATTATCCCTTTGTTTTTTATATACTTATTCTTTGGTCATTTGAGGAGAGAAAGGGGGTTGAAGTTAAAGTTTATTTTGTATTTTTGTCTTTTTACTTACTATGTTTTCGTTTTTCAAGACAGGGTCTTTCTATGTAGCCTTGGCCATCCTGGAACTCACTCTGTAGACCAGGCTGGCCTCAAACTTAGAAATCCTTCTGCCTCTGCCTCCTGAGTGCTGGGACTATAGGCGTGTGCCACCAGGACTGACTTTTTTCTTTTTTCTTCCTTCTTCCCTTCCTTCCTTCTTTTCTTCCCTCCCTCCCTCTCTCTCCTTCCCTTCCCCTCTCTCTTTTGTGTGTGTGTCTTTTTACTGCTTTATTGACTGTAAATAACCCAGAGCATGCACAGTGTGATAGAGGGAAGTGACTTCACTATCATCCCACCATCCAGAAATGATGATACATTGGCCCATGCCTTCCAGTCTATAGTATGTGCAACAAGTGGGCTTTGTGCTAACACAATGTTTTGAAACCGTTTTTTTGAAATTTGCCATCCACCAAGAACTTTTTCTAATGGAATATATGCACAATTTGTCTGTATTAACTTATACGCATGTAGCTAACAGTTTGTATTTGCATGCTAGTTCTTGCATGACTGTCCAGAAGAAGCTAGCCAGCCTTCCTTCCCACTGAGGCTGGAGGTACCTATTGAATACAAGGTATACCAGCACAATGGCCCATCCATCAGACTTGCTGTCACACTCTCCCAGTGTGAAGAGCACTGGACCACTTACTTCTCCATGCTGTAGTAGAGCATTCCTCTCTGGAAGTAGGCCACCGCCAAGTGCTTGTCTCTGTTGATGCTTTTGGTGAAGGCCTGCAGGAAGAAGGGTCCATACATGGCCACAGAGCCAGGCAGAGAGGAAGTATAAGAGTAGCCCCAGGGTGAGGAGGCAGGTGTGTCATAATGATTCAGCGACTGGAGGTGACAAAATTGGCCTGGGGTACAGACATCTTGGGTTGCAATGCCCTGGGGTGTTATTTCCTCATTTCATAGCCTGTGGTAAATTACCTAATCTCCCTGAACTTCATTTTTTTTCCTCTGTAAAATAAGTGATAGGGCTGGAAAGATATAAGCAGTTAAGAGCACTTGCTGCTCTTCCAGAGGACCCAGTTTCAATTCCCAGCACCCACAAGTTAGCTCACAACCATCTGTAATTCTAGTATTAGGGGCCTCCTTGAAAATCAGGTATGAAACTGGTGTCAAACCATACATGCTATCAAAACACCCCCTCACATTAAAAAATAGTAAGAAGAATAAAATGAATGTGAGCCGGACATTGGTGGCACCCACTTTTAATCCCAGCACCCGGGAGGCAGAGGCGGGCAGATCTCTGTGAGTTCAAGACCAGCCTGGTCTACAAGAGCTAGTTCCAGGATAGTCTCCAAAGCCACAGAGAAACCCTGTCTCGAAAAAATAAAAAATAAAAAAAGCAAAAAATAAAATGAATGTGATATAGTTAAAATATATGTTGTATTTGCTGATATAAATTTATTGTATAAGTATTTATATCACCAAAATAATAGCAAGAATACATGTATAATATTGTTAATAAGTGATTAAACAGGAAAACAAGGGCAGAGGGGATGACAGCAATAGAAGAATGGGAGGAGAAATCTTGACCAGTAAGGGTAGACGAAGCCAGTGATCTGAGTGTGTGAGGTGGCCTGTGGCGAAGCCTGGCCATGAGTCCCAAGTCAGGCCAAGGTGTGAGCACCCACAACCTGCAGAAGAGCTTCATGCAGGATAGCTGCCTCCTCTCTCCACAGTGTGCTCTGTCTCCACAGCTCTCAGGATATGGCCGGCCCCTGAGGGGAAGTGGAGGGGTATAGTCTCCCTCCAGGCAGAGGCTGGGCCAGCCCACGTTCTGTCCCACCTGTTTGCTGACTGAGAGCCTGAGCATATCAAGGCACGGTCTCTCGGTCTGTCTTCCTGCCCGGATGTGGACATGTGGACAGTGTTCGTTCACCTGCTGGTCAGGGGATGACTGGTGAGAACTGCTTTGCTAGAAGTGGTGGGGGCTGGGGAGCTGGTTCAGTAGCTAAAGTGCCCGCCTCACAGCAAGATGGCCTGAGTGTGACCTCAGCCAGGTGTGGGGCCACATCCTTTAATCTCAGTGCTGCGGAAGTGGAGACAGGGTCTCCAGCCAGCCTAGCCTAATAGGCAAGTCCTGGGCCAAAAAGAGACTCTACCTCAAAAAACAAGCAAGCAAGCAAGCAGTCAGAGTGGACGGTGTTTGAGATGGTTGAGCAGGTAAAGGCACTTGCTGTGCAATCCTGGAGATTTGGGGTTGATCACTGGAACCAGGTAAAGATGTAAAGAGAGAACTCCACCAAGGAGTCCTTTGACCTTAACACATGCATTATGACATATGTACCCATCCCACCTCCATCACACACATACATACACAGTCAGTCAGTCAATCAGTCAGTCAGTCAGTCAATAAAGAAGCTGGGTGAACATGTCAAACACCTCTAATCCCAGCACTCAGGAGGCCAGCCTGGTCTATAGAGTGAGTTCTAGGGCAGCCAGGGCTACACAGAGAAACCTTGTCTCAAAAAAACCTGGGGGGAAAAAAAGATGCTAAAATGCGCCATACCCTTGGTGGACTCCATGGCTCAGTTACAGTGTGATTTCTGTCAGCCAGTTTCTGAATCTTTAAAGGAGCGCCCTGCATCGTTGATCAGAATTGTTTGAGCCAAACTGACGGGATGCTAAGTCCCTGGGAACTGTAAGAGGCACCTTACAATTGGGTGCAGGGCAGTAAGACAGAGAAAGCGCATGTCCAGTGTCCAGGGGGAGATGGTAAAACATAACTGAAGAAGTCTTCACAAGGTGGTTACAGAATGACCTTAGGTACTGTGAAGTTATTGGAAAAAAAAACCATGGGTGGCCTAGAAAACCTGTCCTGGGAGCTTTTAAAAGTGCCCAGGCCAGGGGCTGTTAGATGGGGCCTCACAGGGTAGTTCTGGAGGGCTTTTGTTCTTTTACAGCTTTGGGAGGTGAGGTTTCCAGAGGGCAGAAAAGCTGTCTGTACAGGGGCCCCTCAACTCACCTGCTCGGCAGCTGGCATGTTTTCCAGGATTGTATGCATACAGCCTATGTTGAAGCAGATCCTCGAGTGGGGGTCCTGCACCTCGCTGAAGGCCTCCAGAGCGCCCTTCCAGTCCTTCTTGTCGGCTGCCAGCACCCCTTCATTCCAGAGTCTGATGGCCTCTGCCAGAGACATGGTTAGCTGTGTGCCCGAGCGGGGAAGTTCAAGGTGTCCCTCTCTCTCAGAGAGCTGCAGGGCAAGCCAGGCCTCAGGGTCCTGACCTAGGGCTCAGAATGGGGTCTAGTCTCCCTTTGGGTGACTTCATTGTGTCAGGAAGTTTTCCCACTTTTCAGGAACTGACGCAAAGCTAGCATGAGAGAGAAGGAGAGAGGAGAGGGCTGGAGGGGGCGGGCTGGAAAAGGGGAAGTATGTTAGATGTTGCCTGCCACGGGCCAGTCAGTTCCTCTAAGTGCTTCTGCTACTCCCTGGGCACCTCCTATTCGTCTCTGCCTCCCACGCCCTCTCTGAAAGCTTCAGGGCAGGGGAACCTCAGCAGGTCTGGCCAGGCATTCATCCTTGAATGAATTCCTTGCTCTGATCCTCTGGATCGCCTGCTGTAGACACGCTTGTTTGTGGTCTATGGATACATCTACGGATACGACCCAGGCTGGCCTGAATTCCCAATCTTCTGGCCTCAAGACTCCCAAATTCTGGAGTTACAGGTGTGCAGCCACTACACTACACTAGTTGTTTTGTTTTTGTTTTAAGATCTCAGGCAGAAAAATAAGCATGCTGTGCCTATCTGAAACAGAATGGGGTGTTGTAAGTGTCCATCCAGGTCTGAGATAACTTTAAGAGAATTCAGTCCAGTTTCTTGTAAATACTCAAACTGGGAAGCAGACATGACAGTAATTATCACCTGTCTGTGAAAACCGAAGACATGGCTCCTGGATTGATGACTAATGAGTTCACTAGTCTCTGTAAATACAGATTTGGAATTCCTTTACTTACTGCTCTGGTAAAGTCAAAGTTAATACAAAGACAAACAAACAATAACAACAACCAAAATAAAAAGCCCCCATGAGGAAAAGCCAGGTTGTACGTCTAAACGATGAAATCTGCCAAAGTCTGAACTTCTTGGTGGGCAAAATGCATGTTAATGAGGGTCAAATACATGGATATTTCCAAGTCTTGTTTTGTGACACCTGAAAGAACTCAACACAGGGTTTGTAGGATGAAGATAGTGTTAGACCCCCAGAAAACTCAGGCTTCCAGGATCTTAGCCCAGGACCACGGCCACCACAACCATCAGGCAGAGGCAGAAAGCTTGATGCAAACTGCATGAGGCTTTGTTGTTTAATGAGCTAACCCCATGTTAGCTCGGGTCTTTCATCCACCCACCATGGCAGATGGCTAGCAAAGACAGTTCGAAGCGGCTGCATACAGGTCTTATAGGGCAGCATAAGGGGAGTGTTTAGGGGTATGCACAGGCCCAGGATTCGTGTGCCTCCAGGCTTGGAGGGTTTGCCCTGTGTTGATTGGTCAACTGGTTGTTATGGCCCATAGGCCCTCCCAGGGTGGTTGCTATGCTCTGTGCATCATTGCTATGCACTTGTTGGTAAAGCACACCCAGAGCCGTAAAGCATACCGCCACCAGCTAACTTCTGATTGGTTCCTTGCCAGGAGGCAGGCATCTGACCTCTAATGACCAAGGCAAGGTCAGAAAAGCACGTGTCCGGTTGTTATAGCTGCCAAAATGGGGAGCTGGTCCCTTCAATAGGAGGGTTGAAAAGACGAATGTGTCATTGCATAGATTTGTCCCTGTCTTTGGTAGGCCTTCCTATCTTACTTCTTTGCCTGGTAATCTCAAACTTCCAGGCTTGCCCATCTGTTCTCCCTCCTATGTCCCCACCTTGTGACAGCCAGCTCCCTACTCTAAGTTATAGAGAGAATATTTTCTCTTGTCTTATCTGCTCCTAAATACTGTGTGGAGGAATGTGGGCTATTCCTTTACACTGTGTGAAGATATGTCACTGTGCTTGGTTTAATAAAAAGCTAAATAGCCAATAGGTAAGCAGGATTTTCAGGGCAGAGAGAATGCTGGGAAGAAGGAGGAGTTTCAGGGAACTATGGAGGAAGCAGGACACGAAGGAGATGAGGTAACAAGCCAGGAGACACGTGGCAGCACATACATTAAGTTATAACAGCTAGTTAGAAACAAGCCTAAGCTATCAGCTGAGCTCTCATAATTAATAATAAGTCTCCATGTGGTTATTTGGGAGCTGGCTGGCAAGACAGAGAAACACTTGAAGGCACTAACTCCCCATTTCGGCAGCCATGACAGTAACACGTGCTTGCCATGACCTTGTCTTAGTCTCTAAGGTCAGATGCCTGCCTCTTTCAGCAGCCATAGCAGCTGGACATGTGCTTTTCTGACCTTGCCTTGGTTACTAGAGGTTAGGTGCCTGCCTCCTGGCAAGGAACCAATCAGCAGTTAGCTGGTGGTGCTATGCTTTACGGCTCTGGGTGTGCTTTATCAACAAGTGGACAGCAATGATGCACAGAGCATAGCAACCACCCTGGGAGGGCCTATGGGCCATAACAACCAGTTGGCCAATCAACACAGGGCAAGCCCTCCAAGCCTGGAGGCACATCAATCCTGAGCCTGTGCATGCCCCTAGACACTCCCCTTATGCTGTCCTACAAGATCTCTCTGCAGCTGGTTAGAGCTGTCTTTGCTAGCCATGCGCCATGGCCGGTGGTTGAAAGACCCGAGCTAACATGGGGTTAGCTCATTAAACAACAATAAAGCCTCATGCAGTTTGCAGCAAGCTTTCAAATCCACCTGGTGATTGGGGTGACCGAGGTCCTGGGCTGAGACCCCGGAGGCCTAAGTTTTCTGGGGGTCTAACACACTCACTACATATGGTGTCCAATGTCCAACCATGTATATCCACAGAAGGCCTGAGAAAGAAAAAAAAAAAAAAAAAAAAAAAAAAAAAAAAATTAAAACATGGCTTCCTGGTGCAGCTTCCTGGTGACTGAGGTCTCTTGGGTAGGCTTGGTGTGCAGAGACTCCCTGATGACTGGAGCCAGTGCCAGCGCCATGGGTTAAGCTAAGTGGCTCAGGCAGCTGACATGACAGTTTAAGATTTGTCTCACATGATCAGAGAACATTGCAGATGCTCAGTAAAGACAGATCCAGACCATAAATAAATAAGTAAATAAATAAATAAATAAAACCCTCTAAACAGGTTATAGTGTGTTTAAAAAGTGTGCATAGGTTTAAAAAAGAAAAGGAAATGGGTTTAGACTGTCATAAAACAATAGTTTATTAATAATAAAATAAAGTCTTTAAAGAGAAAATAAAATAATATGAAAAGATGAGCCGCATAAAGATGAAAAATACACAGAGAGCCTGGATCCGATATGGTGTCTTTTTTGACTAAATATTTTGATTGCTGATGAACAATAGCTGCTGAGGGACAGTGAACTGTAAAAACTGCTAAATTAAACCAACCTTTATATTTTAAAAATGTCTGAATTTCAAAATGGAAGTCAAAGAATATGTTGCTTTGGGGAAGAGGTTATGTTTTGTTTCCACAGAAAACAAAAGACTGTGGATTAATTCGAGCTTGGTAGAGATCAGATTTGATTGGGAGAGACCCCCTGAAAATCCTCGCTACAGAAACAAAGAAATAAACTAGCTGGCTGGTAGTGGCACACTCCTTTAATGCCAACACTTGGGAAGCAGAGGCAGATGGATCTCTGTGAGTTTGAGGCCATTGTGGTCTACAGAGTGAGTTCCAAGACAGCCAGGAATGTTACACAGAGAAACCCTGTCTCAAAAAATGCAAAACAAAACAAAACAAAACAAACCCCTACAAGACAGGTGACATATATTTTACTTGTTCAAACATAAAAGAAAAAAATCATCTTTGCCTGGCTTATGTACAACACATAGTCCATACTTGTGTTAATGCAGATATGTGTGTTACTTTTGAAAATCTGTATGTTTTCAGAACAAGGGGACCAGACACCAATAAAAAATGGATGGCCCTTGTGATCCAGCCTCTCAGAGTGCCTCTGTTGCAGTTTCCTCAGAGTTCTATATCCAGAACAGTTTCAAGGATGCTGACTGAGATAATCCAGTCTCAGACTATTCTAGCTAGCACTTGACCATTATCTTAATTTTCTCAGGGTCCCCTAAAGATACCAGTGCCCCCAGAAAACAGGAAGCAGTCTAGAGAACACAATGCCCACATTCTGAAGAGGCAAAGTAGGTGATTTGGGGTCATTTGATGTATTATAGATGTGTGTCGTTGTTTAGGGGGGTTAGTTACAAATTGTTATTGGTCATGGTCAGAAAAAAACTGAACAAAGGAGATTCAGAGATCTCTTTCTGAAGAGAAAAAGGAGGATATAGTGTAGGAAGAGACCCTGGATACCTGTACCACTGACCACACCCATTTGGGCATAGTCATAGGTACGTAGAGGGGTAGGATAAAGAGAGGATAAAGAGAGAGAAGAGGAGGCGCTTCAAACACTTCTCTCTCAGCCAGCTCTGGGAAGCATCTGGGATCTTGGCAGCTCGGAGTGCCCATGTGAGTTGTTCTCATTGTTATCATTTATAATATACCATCAATATCCATATCTTGTGTATTGTTTGTGTTCCTTATCAATATAGTATAGAAATGATAGGATAAAAGGGTGGATTATTGCATCTACTTTAAAACTAAAAAGCAACTAAAAACTAAAATATTAATCTCTAATATTTTAAATCAGTATGGACTTTTGTATATTGATACAAATTTAAGGTTATTTTTGCTAGAACATACTCTATATACTTTGCCACTCTTGTTTAAGGTATTTTTGTATATCAACACTAATTTAAGGTTTTTTTAAAACTGTATATGTTTCTACTCTTGTTTATTGTACTGTATTATATCTATGCATCTTATTTAACAATGTAATGTAAATTTTTTAGTCCTTGAAATTTATTATTACAAACTATTTAGGATAATTAAGAAATACAGGTTAGTAGTTAGTCATCTAACAATAAAATTTATGGACATGTTAGGTATGTTTTCAAGGTCAAACAGAGATATATTTTAGGTAGATGTTCTTCAAACTCTTCAAAGACCTACAGAATATGGCATTTAAAATATTATAAAACATAAGGCTTTTCGTGACAG